TTTTTACCCCCCCCCCCCCATTTTAGTGTCACGTCGCACCTAAAAAAAATCGAAACATACATAAAATTTTCAGAATTAAACTAAGATTTTATTTTATTCTTTAACATTTTCCCATAATGGTTTAAGATTTAGTATTTTTAGAAAACTGTGAAGCCAGTGAAGCCAAATGTAAAATGACTACAGACAGTTTTGTGTCATTTTTCGATATGCGCCAAAGGTGCGCACGACTGAGTCTCGCGGTACTTATAATACCTGAGGCAATGTTGACCTCAAATTAATGTTTTTTTTTAAATTAGTTGAATAAAGTTTGTTTGTTTTTTTGAAAATTAAAAAAAAATTCATATTTTAAACAATTTTTTTTTTTAAAGTGACGTCACAAATTAATTTTTTATCCCCCCCCCCCCTGTCACAAAGTTTCACAAATTCTCAACCAACCCCCCCCCCCCCGGGCCCGGGCGTGACGTAATTTGCGAACGACGAACGACCCCTTTATTCTTTGCTGGACATAATGATCCAAATAAGGATTATGACTTTTCAACTGCCAACAACACCTTAATTTCCCGGCGTCACTATGACGTTAACACAGACGTTTCATTTTCAAATCAGAAAAGGTCGAGACAATAAGACCAGACCGAGACCCTGAACCAGTTATGGTGTCTCTGGCAACAACGCCGGCCTTGGGTAAACTTTCGCCCTGTGCGAAGCACCCGTTCGGCGCCCCCTTCCATGTCCCTTTAAGGCTCCGCTCTTTTTCCGATTGCGACGTGGGCTATGGAGCACGTGTTTTAATGCTATACATGTAGCTAACCATACGCATTTTAACATGCACATTAATTTGGACTGTTTAGTTTTTCTACGGTACTCAACGCCACAACGCCTTTGGGGCAGGGCTGCCACACCTTGGGAAATTTCCCAAGATCATGGGAATTCACTACCCCATTCAGGACCAAAACTCACTCTAAAATATTTTTATGATCTTGGGAAATCTTGGAAAAAAATTTGACCAAATCTTGGGAATTAAAAAAAAATTTGAGTGGTAGCCCTGCTTTGGGGTCGTCCATAATCTGCCCCTTTCAGGTAGGAACTATCGGCACGTTTTCGTTAAAGGAGTATCCCCTGTAGGCCTAATCATACTCTCTTAAGTATCAAATGAGTTCAAGAACCCTGATGTATATTTCCGCTCAGACATATGACCTTAGTTCACTTTTCATTTTAGTTCATGTTATGTTCACTTTTCACGTCTTTACGAAATTTTTCCCCCTGATGCCTTCTTACTAGCAAATTGTTCGGCAATGTTGGACATATCCAGGGAGTTCACTATTTCATTTCTATTTGATAGGATCGCCAATGACGACAGCCTGGAATCCGTCATTGGTAGATCGCAGGTATATTTTTAAGTTTCAACTTTAAACTAAGGGAATTTAAATATTTACTGGGCGCCCCAGGAGCCCTTGTGGCCCCGGCGCCCCGTGCGAGAGCATAATTATGTCACACACCCTAAAGGCCGGCGTTGCTGGAAAGCAGAGTTTCTTTTATCAGGTTTGAGGGGGGAGGGTGGTCATGAGTTGTGGGCAATGCCACATATCAGCGCAAAAAAAAAGGGGGGGGGGGATTACGACGCTCAGGACAAACTCTGGCTCCAGCGCCTCCAACTCTGGCTCCAGCGCCTCCAACCAATCTACCAATCTAGAAAGAATGCCAAACGACAGAGGAATGGAGATAATACATAACCAAAACTCCGGAGGAAGACGGCTTAAAGACAGGGACGTCATTTGGGTAGGGCAGGGTGTGGCATTTGCGCCCCCCCCCCCCACAGAATTTGCAGGTTTTATTTAAATTGCTATGTACTGCTGTGGCGCCTCCAGTAATAAAAAACTTATCAAGCCGACCAAGTTTTGGTTTTGCCTTCCCATCCTGAAAAAAACCCCAACTGAAATGACGCCCCTGCTTAAAGACACACTTATGCTCACATGCATAGACGATATGGAAACTGTTCTACAGATGCTGAGAATCTAAGCATATAAAAGAAATGCATCAGTTAGGTCTGAGTGGAAGGGTTTGGATGAGGCGCCACTGTGATGGAGGGAATTACAAAGTGCGAATCAACATCTGAGTAAATAAAACAGTATTTATTAAGCTTTAATAATTATTATACAAAATACAAACGAAGTGGCTATTCATACCCGTGTACCAGAAGTGAGAGGTTGGGATTAAAAAACTATTTAAAAATTTATTGTTGGGGATGTAAGACAAAATGAGGTATCCAATGAAAGGTAATTGAATGGCCTATATGTTTGTAAACTTAATTCTTCAGTTTAAATAAAATAAACTACCCCAAATGACAAGGAAAAAAGTGTGTCTTGTTCGTTTAATATTCGTTTTTATAAAATACAATTTATTTGTGAGATGCTTCGATCAATCATATAAGCCACCTTGAATTAGTCACAAATCAATCAACCCTTCCCCCCCTCCCCCCCACCTTTTCCCCCCCCAGGCCCAGGATCCGAAGAGATCTTCTTACACTTCCTCGTCAATAAAAGATAAAATTTCGCTGACCCCTGAACTAGGAGTGTAAGAGGAGAGCGGTTTTTGGACGGGATGGGGTTGACAGTTGTGGGTGAGCTTGGTGAAATGAGCGGGGAAGTGGGGGGGGGGTCGTCGTTTTGACAGTTATAGCTAAGTAGCAATAGTCCAGTGAATGGTGAAAAAATAGTTAATCTTTGTATAGAAGACTGGACTCTTGTATGTATTCTGTTTTCCGTGAAGGAACAGCGGCGCAAGCGACACCACCGATTTCATGTCATTAATGTGAAAGACTCCGACTCTGGGGTGGCTAGGACGCAGTATTGTTTAGACTACCTTAGCTATCACATAAAGAACTGCTTTGTCTGCTGTTATCTGGCTTTTATTATGCTTATACCTGGCAATTGCTTGTGGGTTACTTCAATACTTTTAGTTATCGTAATCGGTCTCAACTAAATAAAGTGCTCTTAATTTTATAGTATCGTGTACAAGTTATTTCTAAATGCGATACTTTCTACAACTTGCCCTACGACAGGTCGACTTTATATTTGTGTCGGTTCCAGGCTGGGGTCACTGAAGCGATTTGGAACTTGGAGCATTTTTATTTCGGAACCTGTGACGGTGCAACACAACGATCTAAAAGAATGGATCCCCAGACGTATATGGATATCGCTACGGTGGTTACGAAGCTGAAGATGTATCCTTATTTCGACATAGCGCATTACATACTGATGTGTATTGCTGTCCGGGATGATGTTGTGCCCCAGCAAGGTTAGTCCTGTCGGCCGTGGTTGTGAGGCGAGCGAGTGAGAAGGTAGTGATCGCTATTGCAGGTGCATTCTTAGTTACATCAGCAGCGCGTTTCCTAGCCTAGAAGTATCATATGGGCATATGTTTTAGCGTATTCTCCATTCGGCTACAATTATTATACCATTATTATTATTACTTTGCCGCAACAGCTTTTCATATGTTCATCATTGTCATCCCTAGGCCCTAGACCTAGGCCTAGGGCCTAAGTTGGCCTAGGCTTATTAAGCTTAAGACTAAACGGTAAACGCTACGTCCAAAACAGTAACAGTGTACTCTGAGTGTACAGTTCGCTATGTCTCTTGTGGCACTGATTCATTCAGTCATGCCATAAGAGTTGCTTTAACTTAAACTTTAAACTACTAAAAAAAAATAATGTAACTTCAACTCAAAATTAATTTTTAATCAATATAAATAAAACTAAGACTAATAACTATAAAAATGTTAACAATAATGGGGAGAGTCTGCAGTAAGGTGTGGGGAAATATGCTAAACAAAGTTTGGGAAAACCTGAAAAGAGGACACAACAATCATGTCCCAAGATGCCTTCTTCAGGAATCTGTGAACAAACAGTATTAACAAAAGGGGACGGATGAGAGGAAAGGTAATTTTACTGTGATTGTTCATAACAAGTAGTGGTCGAAGAAAAGGTTTAGCAAGTAAAGGAGAACATTACATTAATGCCTGAATCAGTTTGTTCTTCAATTTAAAAAAAACAACCACCAAAGTCCAAATTGTCTTAATTACCTCATTAAAGCTGTATTGTTGTGACATCATATAATTTATGGTATAAACTATAAAGGTCTAAGCCTAATAAGTGGTTTAAAATGTAGTGGCCAAGTTCATTACCATGCTTTTAGGAAAGCTTAGCTTAGCCTTAGGAGATAAAATATAAAATGCAATAATTAGAAAAAAACTGATTAGCAGGGCTGTATCTTATTTTAGAAATCAACCTGTCATCAGTGGCATCTTTTTGGCCTATAACAGCATCCAAAAGCCAGGTTTATCACATAAAAATCGAAGAGCCCTCTGCAGGTTGTCAAAGTTATGTGTCATGCTAATATTGAGAGTGACCAAAACATTTCAGTGGCAAAGCTAAAACTGTAATCTCAAATCAAAGATGAGGCACAACAAGCTATGTCAAGATTTTTTTTAATGCCCTAAATCAGGCCTGCACAACTCAAAATGTAAGGCGGGCCGTAATACTTAATGAAAAACTTTTGCGGGCCAAAAGATAATAAGACATGAGGGGAAAGCCATTAATAAAATAAGAATAAAGAATATTTCCTTGCTTTGCGGGTCGCAAAATGGGTGCTGTCGGGCCACATGTGGCCCGCGGGCCGTATGTTGTGCAGGCCTGCCCTAAATAATAGATTCAGGGCCCTTAGAAATAACACAATGCCAAAAACAATTAATGACTTCAAAAGAGCCATAGGAGGAATTTTTGATAATAATGAAAAATGGAGCACAGAGTGGATATCATAATAAACATGAAGAAAAATTTGAAGAATTTAAGAAGTTAGACCACTGCGATTGGTTGTAATGTGGCGGGGCGGAGCAAAGGCTCAACAATACATGTGAGTGAAAACATGACATTCGCGCCATGTGGTATCAATATTCCATAAGTCTAGATCAGCTTGTTTTCCAAATTCACCTGGCTGGGTGAATTTGTGTTGGTCACCAATCACACTAATTATATAATCCGCTGAGCCCTTGTGGTTGCTTCTATTGAATTGTTTAGAGACGGAACACTGTTTATCTTGCGTAATGTTACGGAAGTGCTTATTACATTTGTCAGAAAGTCAATCCTGTCTCCCCTATGTACTACATCTGGCAGCGGGTTTAAACAGTGGTGTAGACAACATTGCGGCTGGTACAAAGTAAACTGTCCCTTATCTGAAAACTGCCCTTAAGGAAGAGAATGTGTTGAGTCTGGACGGGCAAGTATTGCAACGGCTTGGTCTTAAAGTGGGAGAGGGGGCAGCATTGATGCGATTTCACACAAGGAGGTCTCTCAGATTTTTATCACGTCTGAAAACAATGAGAGGCAGGGCATTGTTTCTAATTCATTATGAATGATGTGACATGCCAATGGAGAATACAAATGACATGTAGCTAACATCTGACCAATAAAGTTAGGACCAAAGATAACTTCTGGCCCTGGTCAATTCAACATAACTTAGTCAATTTTTTAAATTTTAAAAGTAGCATGATACAAATGTTGGTAAAATTTGCTTGAAATTTTTTATGTGTTGTACCTTTGATAGAATTAATAAAGATTTTTACTTAGGTCTCAGTACTTTTTTTTTTTGCTTCTACCTGTTTTGGTATGGTCACATTTTTGTTTAAATTTAGTAAACAAAAAAGGTAATTCTTTTGGCTTGACATCAAACCATAATTAAATATGATCTTGATAATTGTTTTCAATACAGTAGAACCCCGTTATGTCGACGGCCTCGAGTTTGCCAAGAAGCGTCGAGATACCAATAATAGAGATAAACCAAAACCAATATGGCGGCAATATATTAACATGTGCTTGAAATTTCTTTAAATACACGATGTGCGTTTATAAATGAGATGTACATGCATGTGATGTTTGGAGTTTTTTTTACACAATAGCGTTACCAGGATTTGTTTGAAGCGATCGGCATGTTATAAAAATGTACATACATGTGTGCTAACAACACAAGGCACATGTTGGGTGCCACTTTTCCGAAATATTCGGGATTCGTGAGGTAAATATTTTTCTGCTCAGGATTCTGGAGTTTTTCTTTTCTCTCGCTCCAAATTCGCCAGTTCAGTTTATTCAAATACGGATTCTGGGTTTTTAAAAATAAATCAACCCGTAAGAATGCGTGAAAGCCTACATTAAGCGACAAGCGGGTTCACTTTAAATAAAACAGATACTGCGACCTTTTGTTTGGAGGCTTTGCGCTTCTTGCTGTGTCAAGTTAATTGCGCGGACAACGTTATTGTTATTTCATTTCAATTAATAAAGTTTGAAGTAGGCACATTTCTGTTGTATATAATTTTCAAAAGCCGGCGATTGGTCATGGGGATCGAGATAACCGAGGTTATGTGGTAAATTTGGCAGCCATTTGTGCTCAAGATGTTAGGGTTCTGCGACATAACAAAAAGAATCGACATAACCGAGGAGAAAATGCTTAGACAAAGAGAGACTTGTCGGTTCCGCTTCAAAAATGTCGACATAACATGGTTGGCAAGTTAAACGAGGTTGAGATAAACGGGTGCGACTGTAATAGATAATTCAATTCTGAATGAAAGTTATATAAAATGTTATTACTGCTATTGCTATGTTCTTCATTGAACACCCAGTCAAATACCTAATGGTAGAGAGAAAAAAATGACAGACAACCAAAAATATTTTAGAGATAATGTTTTGTAATATGGATGACCCTTACAGTATTTTGTTAATCAGTTCACAGCTGAATTTCTGGTGTCAAGTTGCCACTGTTTGGATGATTTTGAAAAATTGTCTGCTCCCAGTGTATCCCAATTCCCCAGTACAACTGTGTTATTTTATTGAAAGAACCTTTAATTTGATTTAAATTAAATGTAAATGCTCTTGATCATAATTTTTTTTAGGCCAAGGAAGTCCATCACAGCCATTTTCAAGAAAACATCCCTTGTCCAGCTGGCTCTCTTCAATGTTAATATGCTTTGCAGGAAGCATCATTGCTAATTTTTTATTAGGAGAGCCAGTGATAACACCGTTCAAAGATCACTTGAGCATATTAACTGCAACAGCAGTTTGGTAAGCAGTGATGCATTTATTTTACACTTTTGATTTTTAATTTTTAGATATTATCTCTAAATTTACTTTTGTTTTAAATAGTGGTGTGTCAAAGTTTAATTTACTGTTGTCTGACAGGAATGTGATGATAGATTTAATCTTTGAAAGCTAACTGTGTTTATTGAAAGATATCAAGCCTAGTTTTTATCATCACACTGAACTATTATTGTCACTTGACAACACTGAAAACAATTTGTTCCTTAGAATACTTTTATTTTATCTTTTATTTTTCTAAATGATTGCTCCAAATTTGTGCTAACTGGATAAATACTTCTTTGTTTCAGGTATTTGGTTAACTACTCTCCATTTGATTTGATTTACAAACTGAGCAAGTTCCTGCCAATAAAACTTATTATCTGTATACTCAAAGAAACCCAGAGGGCTCACAAAGTTTACCATGGAGTATTAGTGGCTGCAAAATTATATCCTAGCTCCTATCTTATTGTTGTCATTGTCGGCACTGTGAAAGGTATGTGGATTTTTTTTGTGTTAAATCTTTTCAAACTTTCAAGCTAATCCATCATAAGTCAATTCTGAAGATTAAAGAAGCATTATTTTATGTTTAATCAGTAACTTGAAATATTTTTATTTCAATTGACAATGCAGCCTGAACATTAACCCAGCAAATGGACTACAGCAGATTGTATGTTACCCTTCTCAGACCTGTAAGGTATTTGGACTATCACCCTGTAGGAGACCAAGTCACTCTTATCCCCCATCTAGGGGTACAACCTGGCAGTATTTGAGAACTTCATACATCTTGAAATGTAGACGTGCTGGGCGGCCGAGCGGTCTAAACTGTCTCAAACCAATTAGCAGGTGGTTGGAGTTCAATCCCCACCAAAGCCAACATCCCCAGCACCCCGGGTGGATGGGACTCGTTAGCCTTGGACAACAACCCATCTAAGAGTAGGCAAACTTTGAATTTAAACGAGGAGCCAGAATGATCAACAAATTAATCATGGGCCCTCAAATAAGAAAAAGAGAAGAAGAAGAAATGCAAAAGCAGCAGCATTTGTAGCTAGTTTGAAGAAGTGTTCTGGAACAACCCAAACCACACAGAAAGGGCCAAAATGTATCTACTTTACAGCGTGTTATAAAGTTGCGATACATGAACCAGATGAAACTGTCACTCCAGGACAGTGCTCAAAAATCACTCATTGAGGTGAACGAAGGAAGCTTCGCCATCATCTCTCAAGACAGACTGATGCCACGAAAATAACAGTCTGTTATGACATTTCAAATATTTTTATTTTGTGACCCAAAAAAGTTAAATAATAGAAATACTTATTAAACATAAGTTATCTGTATGAAATGGTTCAATGTTTACTATTAGATTTTAAATTAATGAAATTAAATCTTTTACAGGAGCTGGAAGTGGAGTAATGAAGAATTTTGATAGACTTGTGAGAGGTATTTGGGTACCAGGCAATAATGAGATTCTTCAGCCATCATTGTAAGTACAAAATCGTAACTAAGATATTAAAGGTACAAATTGTCTCTGTACTATTCCACTTTCAATATTTATTTTTATAAGCTGATTATTACAGACTAATCTGGATTTTTGTGTGTTTATAACACCATAAATTAAGGGTCATTTGTTTCATATTGCTGGTTTTTAAACATCTTACAAAACAGTATAGGAACTCACCATTACTTTATAACAATTTACTGTAACCTTCATGACCATATAAGACTATTAAATACATTAAAATAATATAAACAATAGTTTTTTTATAGACATGTTATGTCAACTTATTTTTATTTTAACTTTATATAACATTTAGCTTGGTGTCTAGATTAAAGTTGTGCGCTCTATTGTCAGTAATGTCATGCTATAACCATATTATGTGTTTTTTTAAAAAGTAATTTTTGTTTTTAAACTCTAAAACGTATTTAACTATTAACTGCATGGTGAACAGCATTTTTGGAAGAAAAATGGAACCATGTATTATCTTTTAGGATGGGTGTGTCATTTTGTTACAAGTGTTGGTACAGCAAAAACTGTCTTTATTGACATTGTTACAAGTTGAACTGAAAGAAATGAAGTTGGTAATTTTAATGAAATGCATTTTCTTTTCTCTTTCAGTGCTACAAAGGCCAGCTTGGTAGCCTCAATCATTTTCCTATGTGAGCGCCTAAACCTGATTGCCGTGCCTCATCCTCTTATTTATTTTGGTGTAGTCCTCTTCTTTGTCTATTTCAAGATCTCCTCTGTCGTGTTAGGAATTCATGACCCATTTGTACCGCTTGAGAACCTTTTCTGTGCAATCTTTATGGGAGGTATGTGGGATGCTCTTCGTAGAGCTGCCATTAAAGAACCAGCCAAGGAAGATGAAAATAAAGACCCAAGGAATGATGTTATCAAGTCGAAAGAGGAGAAGAAGAAAGATTAACTTGACTGACATCCTGCAATCGAATTTAGGCTTGATATTTCCTCAATATTAAAAACACCACAATTGGGCTATTACAATTGGTAAAGTAATGTAATTGATTTTAACTATGATACACAGAGGAACCTAATCAAATTGGTTACTAATTTTAATCTTTGCTTAAACATAGAATACCGGTACTGTATGTTTTATAGCTTGTGTTCATTTAAATAGTTTCGTCACAATACCAAACATTTGATAAAACATCTACTCATACTAACAGTATTTAGATGGTGAATCATTTATTTATTTCCTTGAGGCAGCCAACTCCAGCTAGTCATTTCAGAGAGAGTTTTCATTTGGAGCTGCTTTGTAAACTTACCCTGTACTTATATTCCATGCATATAATCTTTGATTGAACCTGAGCTTTTAAATGTGTTCCTATTTCGAGTGAAAAAAACTTATATAAGAGTAAGAGAATCATGAATGTTGAGTGCATCGTGTGTTGAGAAGTTATTTTTATAGACAGATTTTAAGTATTAAAATCATCTAGCAATTTTTATTGTTGTATAATCTAATAGTAGAATTGACAGTTTTTTTTTTCAATTAAAATCCATGACTCTTTATTTGAAGTGTTACCATTTGAGATCTTTTAGTTGTGTAAATATACTCTCTATCAAAAGATTTTTCTGAGTCTCAGAAGTGTTTCTGCTCTCAAGCTGTTATACATTTTTTGTTACAAAAATTTTTTTTTACTGTTTTTTAAAACATGGAGTTATGATCAAAAAAAATATCAGTCCTCATTGTTTTATAAATTTACAAAGATCAAATCATGATGAATACGGTAACAATAAAATAAAAATTGATCATTGATAACTTATTTTTAATGCTGTTTTGAGTTTTGAACTTATTTTTTTAACCAAACTTTCAATCTCTCACACATATTTATTATTAGATAATAAATACTAATGTTGAATTATAACTCAATAAGATCCCACAGGTTCTTATTTAGGATCAAACTGGATAAATGATCAAAAGGTATTTTTTTAAAACGTAAATGGTGATTACAATGCATAAAAAATAGCAACATTTTTTTCTACCGTTTAATCTACCCTGAAAACATATTTTTGTGTACCTTTTTTAAATGATTACTGTTTTTCTTATCCAAGTCATTCTGATGATTATTTGTGGATAACTTTTTGTCAAGTTGTATTATTGTTTTGTTGGAAAAGGACTTGTGTCTATGTATTAAAAATAAAGTAATTAGACTACAAAAGACGAGTCTTGCTAAAGCCCTGTGGTTAATTGGTTATAAATTTTATGAAAGAACATGTCATTGTATCCCAGTGACTTCTATTTAAGTAATACTAAGCATATCATTTTGTAATTTATATATAGACAGATAAGATAAAAAATGTTGTAACTCAATACATGATATGATTTCTTGATATTAAATGCCATTTTGAACTCATTTTATTTATTTTAAATGATTTTTTTCATGAATAATGAGTATTCCAATAAACTTGAATGTTTTAAATTAACAAACATAAGATAGTATTATTTCATTTTTTCATCTTTTTAAAAATGTATGTTGTACCCAATGTGTGATTTATTCTTTTAGTTATTTATATTTTCTGTTTTGAATCAAGCATGTTTTCTGTTTTCAACGTCTGAAGTATTTTTGAGTGGGCACATTCAATTTTATGTTCTTGCACCCCTTCAGTTTCCTTTGGCCACATTCCACTGTAAACATACCCCTGCATAATAATTTATAATTATATCATGTTCTTTAGATGTAAATTTAACCTTAAAACTAGTGTGGCCAAGAATGGGTGGGAGAAACTTTGTTGTTCTTAGAAATGTTATACATTTGTTGAACTTGTATTGGTTTTTTTCAAATCTCTTTAAAGAGGTATTCTTAGTGCAGTTAATGAACAGACTGTGGAATTATTGGTTAACAAAAAGCATAACCAGCTGCTGCACTGCAACTGATTTGGCCTTCTAAAGCATTTGACAAAATTAATTTTTTATTTTATTTTTAGAAAATATGAAATGTGCCAGTAGCACAAAGTTTTGATGATAAATGTTTTAAGTGTATTTATCTGTTGAGATGTCTGAATTTGTAGAGCTTGTCCCATTAGTTATGGCTCTATTTTGGCCTAATGCTTTCATTTTTTTTCTCCTACTGTGGCCATTTTTCTTTCAGTTTTAAGATAATGCTTCTTATGAGAATGAAAAAAAGGTCTGCTTGTTTTAGCTGTCATCAATAAGAAAACATTCTATGAATTTTCTTTATATGTTAGACTTAAGCTAATCACACACCACTTGATTTTCTTGAAGTACCGTACTTGAAGGTACATGTTATAAAACATTGTTTCAGATAGGAGCATTGTTTAGCAGTTAAGAGATGATTTAAGAGTTGATCACTGGTTTTCTCATAAACTCAATTTACATATCGCTTTGTGTGATCTTTCACTGCAATGTAAGCTTTAAAGAAAAACCTTTTTAAATCCCTCCCAGTTTGCATTTATTTACTTGGAATTTGTAATACTTAGATACTGTATTGTATTTGCTCCCCCGTCCTGATCTGAATCTCTTTTTTTTTTTTTTTTTTTTTTTATTTGTTTTTTCAAAAATTTTTTCTTTTTTTTCTTTTTTTTTATAATTTGTTTTTTTTTTTTTTTTTTTTTTTTTTTTTTTTTTTTTTTTTTGTAATTTTTTTTTTTTTTTTTTTTTTTTTTTTTTTTTTTTTTACTGTAGTGGTATTTTCAAAAATTATTTGCTTTTTGGCATTTTTATGAACATTTGCTTGTATTTTGTGTTCATCCTGTTCAGGAAATAAAGTGCCTAAATATTTGAAAGAATTCGTTTTAAGGTTTGTTTATCTGTTAAACCTTTTGGGCGTAGCCAACCATCACATTGATCAAGGTAGTAGTGATCAGCTCAATCCCCCAGAATCATTCCTGATAGCAGGCTCCCATAAAGGGATTTATATAAAAAGCACAACTGTCAACAGGAGCCTCCAGTCCTCAAGGCTAAATTGTGTTGCATTTGAACCTGTAAGGACATCACCATGAGACATAGTGGTAGGCTATCAAGATATTTTCATACCCATTGACAAGTACTAAAACTAAACGGGGGGGGGGGGGGGGGGGGGGGGTCCACTTCACTCATACAATAATATTTGATGATAAGTTGGCTTTAATTCAATCCTAATCCATAAGGTTTTTCTCATGGCTACATAAACTTTTATTTGATAACACATCTCCAAGGTGTGAAATATAATGACTGGAGGTTAATTTGAATATTTATGAGAAATTGTGTACTGGCTTTTCTAAATTTATAGAAGAAAAACAAAATCATTCAAAACTTAATGAAAATATATTATTTATACTTCACAGTAATAGCAATCATGATATTACGTAAACATTTTCCAAAAGTTCAAAGTAACTGATTAATTAGATGAATAACAGGCTAAAATGGACTAGACGTTACTAATTATTTACATGCCACCACAAACACTCTTTCACAAGGTATATCTTAGCCGAAAGGTTCTTTTCTTTACTGTCCTGTCTTACTGTCTTTACATTTCAATCTTCCACATACCTTGTCTCACTATTCACAGCTTCACACAAAACTTTTTTTCTACTTTATTCTGTAGGTCTCAAAAACAAAATTAAATATTGATTATATTCCCCTTTTGATGAAAATAAGTACTATTAAAGATTCATTATTGATTAGTAATGCTGAATCAGAATCAATTAAAGATATTTATTTGCTTGGTAAATGAAACCTAGATTACTTAAATAGTACTAAAAATTAAAAATAAAAGATTCAGTGCCAAACACTTATTGAACAATTTTCACGTCACCACAGGACTGATAGATTTAAATTCTGATTATATGATGATGTAATTCAAACCAACATCAAAATGAAAGAAATTTACATTTGAAAAGTCACATCAAAACAGGACATAAAAAAGTTCCAATACTAAATAATTCTTGGTCCACTTAAAGTTTTAAAAAAGGGTAATAATGTAATATTTTTAAAAAATATCATCAAAATATATATTATTGATATCATGCATATGGATATCTTAAATACTTGAGCTTTTTAATTTAAATTATATTTATCATAACACAGTTTAAAATGAAATAGGAAATTATTCTTTTAAAAAAATCATGTTTTACACTATTATACTTGCTAACTTGATTTTAAGTATGCTCACATTTCAATTACAGTTACTTTACATTTAGTAGATTTAAAATTGGGTATATAAATACAAAAATTTGTAAATGATCACCTTGTACCTTTAATAGAACATAATGAACATTCACTTGGTGAATTCATTAATATATAATAAAAAAATTAAATCACAATAACAAAGCACCTGATACACATTGAAATTTTAAGAGTATTTTTGGAAGAATATAATGTGATTAATATTTTATTCTTCATTAACTAAAAACAAATATACAATCTGTCAAAAAATAATCTACATATTTTTTTTCCATATCACTAGAGCCTATTCAAATTATAGTTACAGCACGTTAATTGGAAGCTATCCCTCATACTAAAAAAAGCTGGTGTTGTCTACTTCATCTTTTTCTCTTTCTCTTCATTTTCTTTCTTTTCTTTCTTCTCCTTGCCTGTGTCAACAGCACCACTGCCAAACAGCAATAGGCAGACAGGCTTTTCGAGTAACTCCAAAGGATCAGCAATGCCTCCCACAATAATCAGAATTCTCAACACAACAAAGACAATTATTATTCCCAGATAGAGGAGTTCAATAGGGACTTGGATTACTTTAGTGTTATGAAGCAGGAAGGCTAAACTGGCATACATTGCTGATTTGGCAAAGCTGGGGAAAACAAAGTTAAATATTTGTTATTAAACAAAATCTGCATTGCTGTACTTTAAGGGTCACTTAAATTTACTGTTAGACTTTAAAGATTTGTTAAACTTCTTAGTCAGACTATGTGAGAGTGCCTTAATATTTGATGAAACTTTCTTAGTGTTGACCAAAAATTTGAGAAATCTATCCTAGTAAGTATTTCTTCTCTTTTTTTATTTGGGAGAACATTAAAATCCAAGAATACCTGGTATATTATTTTTAAGTGGAGTTATTGTAAGATTGAATGAATGTAAAATTTTGACACAGAATTTTTACATAATGCAGCCATATCTTGTTTATAGGGATAATATTTTAGCATTATTTATTAAGTGTGATAATAGCTGCTTTATACAGCCAAAAACCATTTAAGAATACAACCTAATGAGGATACATTCAAAAACCTTTTCCACAGATTACCTTTAAAATAAACTTACTGTGTGACATGAAGTATTTCATTAGTATTAGGTGACCATTTTCCTCTAATAAGACGTTCAACGATCTTTATGAACCCATAGCCATTTCCTGTATGAATATTTTCAAATTTAGATTAGAATAATTTATATCAACATTTTACACGTTAGTACCAAATATATATATATATATATATATATATATATATATGTAATTAAACTGCACAGTACTTTTGTATTTGTTGTCTCATTCGTATTCATGTAAACGTCTACATATCTGTATTTATGTTGTGAAGTAGACAATTTAATTATTTTAAATTTTTCTTACACTTATTTATAAATTATAATTCATGTATCAACTTGCATTTGTGTATACATTCATTAACATATAAATATATGAAATATTGTGAACTATTTTAATTGATAACTCAATAAGAAATAACTGACATACTTATACATACCAACATATTATTTTAGTTACTCAAACACATAATTCAATATGGCAGAGTACTTAGAACTATTAGAAGTAGCCGAGAAGCTTGGCATAAAACAGGAGGGGTTAAGGGACTTTGTAACTAGGGAGATGGACAAAATTAGGGACAGACAAGACAAAGACCGACAAGACAAAGACAAAGACCGAGAAGCTAGAATGTTAGAGAGAAGTGACCTTAAACAAATAGAAGAACTGAAATTAAAAGAACAAGAAATGAAATTAAGAGAGGAAGAGCTAAAACTAGAAAGAGCTAGAATAGAATCAGGACAGCATACACCATCAACAAGCAATAGAGAAACCAATAGCACATATAAACCCAAATTTAGAGAATTTAATGAACATAAAGAGGAAATTATTAGTTATTTGTCACAATTTGAGGGCATCTGTCAGTCTTACAATTATAGAGAAGAGACTTGGGCTAATATTTTATTGAGCAGATTATCAGGGAAAAGCCTAAGCATTATCAATTCACTTAGTGAAGAACAAAAGAATAATTATACCTATATAAAGAAAGTTTTGTTAAAGTTCTATGGAAACACAGAAGACATTTATAGAAAAAATTTTCACAACATAAGACTAGAGAGAGAAATAGACCCCAACACCACTATATTTAATATTAGAGACAATCTTGTCAAATGGCTTGAACTCACTGAAATTGACCTAAATGATCCCAAAGCCTTACTAGATATGTTTATTATAGACAAAATATTAAGAAATGCATCAGTCTCTTTATTTTCTTTCCTTAAAGAGAGAAAAATTAAAAATGAACGTGATTTAGTTGACTCAATCACAACATTTAAAGATGCTCACCCCAATGAAGAGCTAGATAATAGAAACAGCACACTAGCCTCTATTAGAAACACACCCAGTGATAGGGACAGTCAAAAACAAAACACATATCAAAACAGAAGATACCACAGCCTACCTGCCAGATGGCAAAACAATAAATTTCAGAAAAATTATCAAAACAATTACCAGACACCATATACTAATTACTCAAACAACAACAAATGTTTCTACTGTGGCATTCCAGGTCACAAAAAATATGAGTGTAGGAAATTACATAGAGATTTAGGACATTCACAACAATACTATCAGAGAACATCACCCAACAGTAGTCCAATTAGATACAACAGTACAAATAGGAGTAGACAACCATATAAAAATCAAAGATATAATTCCAATCAGACTAACAGTAGACAAAACACCAAACCACATGAAACTTTAGCTAGCGCATGTCACAGTGAAGGAAGTTTACAATTTTTTCCTTCTTATGTAAACAACCAGCTTGTTCAGTGTCTAAGAGA